TCAACTTCCGAATAAGATTGATTACGATTGATACTGCTTCCCCGAATAATTAAATTTAAACCAAACGATATTAAAATTACGAAGGAAACGGTGGGGGGGGGGGGGGGGGGGTATGATTCTTACTGCTGTTGTCTGCAAAACAAAAACTAAAAGCACTTTGGTGGGAGAATACCAACTACACTATTTACCTCAGCAACGTGTAAACAATGATCTGCCCTAGATTAGTTTTAATATCGAGACAGCATTTGAAGGATAAAACAGTCTAAAGAGTACGCCTTACCTGGATAGAAATATCCCTAGAGCATCCGGAGCTTCGAAGAGGTATGATCTGATGCGACCAACGTCGAGTGATGAAGCTATAGACAGCCCACACATTATAAACGGGTTTCGCGCGCCGTAAATATTGCCATTTGCCACTACACAGACCGGGAGTGCCCTTGAAGATATTTCCTGTTACCCGCCAATGACTGCTTACGTTTCTAAACACGCTCCTTTTCGCACGTGCATTTGTCTCCTCGCCCTTTTCCTGCGTGTCGGCATTGAACCTTGGCGGCTTGTTACAGACACGATAAGTAATTTAATGCCTTTCTGACCATACCGCAGCGTGTTGGTAATGTACCTGGCGTACAACTCAGTCATTATATGCTATTTAGTGGGCATTTGAGAGATAGTTAGCTTTTCTGGTCGCGCTCCGGCGCATTAAAAATACAATTCTTTAGTGTATAGCACGAGCCCCTTGCATTCTCAGATACTCTCATGCGTTGTCTAGCAGAATTTGAAGTCAGAAGGTGGAAAGAATCTCAGCGGAAAACTTGAACGTGGACTCATATTTCTCTAAGATAATGCATTTCTTTATATATCGGTGCCCCCATGCAGTAGACCAGCGAATGCCACTTCAAAGTGTTAGTAGATCCACCAACTCGCCGGATTTGGTACGGTGAAGACTTCACCGGTTATCTGCGTTCAAACGGCAACTGAAAGTCAGAGTTTCCGTAGCGACGACTCCGTCATGGAAGCTGTGCGTGAGTGGTGTGAGGATCAAGACAAATCGTTTTGCTTCACGGGTTGGCAGCACTGGAGAGGTGCTGGGAGAAGTGCATTCTATCCAATGGGGACAACACAGAGGACTCCAAAAGTGTCATTCCCCTGGGAAAGCGCACCACTTCTCGAATATCCCACGTAATGTTCGCAAGTAAGGCATTCCATAGTGTCCGCTTTAACTAGATAGCCTGATCAAAGTTACTGTTATTTATTTGTTAAAGGGGGCGGTTTTTTTTTAATTTCAAACCTGGAGAAGCATAATATTAAACGTATATTCTGCAACTCGAATTATTACTGACTGGAGGTGTTTGCATGAGTGTCGTTTCAAAATTTTAAAACTAAACAGTTGTTTAAAATCGGTTTCAGATTACAAACTTTTAAGTGTACTCCTCACATCCTCGTTGAGCTGGCAGCGGCATGTAGATTATACCGTAGCGAAATCTTCCAAATAGTTGGGTTTCTTGCACCGAAACCCTCGTAACTTTCCACAGGTTAAGCGGGAACTAGTATTCAAAACAAACGTGATACCTATATTCGAATATCCCTGCTCTGTGTGCGACCCCCAACTAGTCAAGATAAAAATAAATTAGAAAAAAGTTTAAAACCTAGCGGCTAGGTATATTTTAGGAATTCTTTTTAAGAGATATAGTGTTTGGTGCAACACCCTCGAGACAAATCTTGACCTGGAATACACTGGAATGCCGCAGAGCTAGGCTTCGTTGAATGTTTTTCCATTCTATATTTCACTCCCAGACTAACCTCCCACGTGAAACATACCTGTTTCCCCCATATTACCTATCCGGGCATGTGGATCGTATTCATAAAGTGACTGAATAAAGGCGCAACACTCCGGGTTTCGAGAGTTCATTTTGTTTTTCAAAAAGAGTACGCCAGTAGAACACATTACCTTCTATTTTTGTCTCTGCTTTATCAAACGATGCCTTTTATACTGCTTTTGAAACGGTAGGGACATTCAATTGATATGATTGCGTAAAGCATAAATCCCAGCCAGAAGTTAACACAGTATATTATAATTATTTTTATGCATAGGTGCTGCAGATCTTGGTGGACTCAGAGCGTTAAGGTTTCGTGTATCATTCATTTGTTTTAACTGTCGCAAAATGCAATTGAGTTCGTTGGGGGGGGGGGGGGGGGGAGTGACTCAAAATCTGAAGGGTGCTAGGGATGTCGCAAGGAGTGTTGAAAACTCTTGACCTCGCGAGGTTTTACAAATTTGTGAAGATGGTTAGCTGTTAATTTGCTCGCTTTCTTTTTTTTTTTTTTTTGCGCGCGTATCACTTTTTTTTTATTCCCCACCCCCCTCTCGCTAAACTCCGAAATTCGCTGCCGGGTACCTGATAAATAAATAAATATTATAATAATTATAATTCATGAAATGCTGTGAAACAGCCTGGTAGAAACCTAACCTAGGGTTATCTAGGAGGTGTTGCTAGGACCGGGAAGGGGTGGGGAGAGAAAAAGAAATAAAAGAGAGGAGAGCTGTGGCATGAGGGGACTGGTGTGTCACGTGACGTATATTTTTTTCGCTAAACTTAGCGGGGAAACTGTCAGTTTGTATAAGTCACGTGACGCCAGCTTACGTAGAAACCATTAGGCCTGCGGTTCGACGCCACATCGACCAACTGCGTCCTGATCACGACACAGCGGCAAGTAAACCACTAGACATCGTTGTTGGTACACAACCGAGTCGAACACCGAGTTTTTCAATGTTACCGGAATAAGCATCGCCCCCGCCTGCTACAGACCTCGAAGGGGAGGGACCTATTGAACTGTTTCCGGAAGGCAAGAACAATGAGCCACCATATCTGTTGGCGACAGAACGTGATGACGTCCCAGAACAACCGCTAAAGTTCCTAGATCAGAGCACCCTACAAGTAGCTACATTCCCATGAAGCGCAAACTGCGTGACAGTACAGGTTTCAGGAAGCGAATGGCGGCGCACAGTAGAGGACCGAACTGAACGACGCCCTTTTGTTCCAGCGGTATGTCCTTTGCCATTAGTATTGGTTATCGTTGCTTGTAAAAAAGGTACCAAGGAACTTTACGCCACGCTTATGGGTCCAACCGGTAAATCTACGTCTCATCCCCAGTCGCGAAACGAGCAGGAAAATATTCTGGGGCTTCTTCATAGAGGCTGAAATCTTTCTTGATCATGCATCAAGAGGTCTCGTGACACCCATCGTGCCGGGATCTTCCACATACCCCGAACTTCATGAATGATTGTGAGAGCTCTGTCATACGAAATGTTCAAACTGTGGACACTTTAAATCGGCAATTTTTTATGATCAGTCTCATGTACGGCTGAATTATCCTAATGAGTCGAAGTGCTTGACCGCCCTGACCTTGTGTCGTCTTGCACGTCCAAAAGACCGCGTTTAAACTCGTTGAAGCTACGACGTACTATAGCATATGAAGGACATTCCCTTCATGCACATTTACCATTCTATCGTGATTTTTCTTCGGGACCTTCTTTGCACAAAAAACTTCGTTACCGATGCATAATGCATCAGTAACAAACTGCCAGATGCAGAATAAGGGATGGACCGGAAGGCTTGATATGGCGACATTGTTTCTTCAGAAAGGTGAGCTATCTGAAGTTTTAAAGAGATCACCGTTAGACTTTTGTTTAAAGTCGAATTGCAAAACTTTTTGATCATTCCTCGTATCAAAATAAGAACATTAAATTAGCTGCATGAAGAACAGCTGGAAATGTCTCTCGTGCATAACTGCTTTCATGCAAGCCAGTGGGAAGTTTGGGAAATACCGAATGATTGTTTTATATCCTCAGGGTAGTGGCGGATATGTGCGTCAGGTTTGGGGAAGGTGCGAGAAGGGGGAGTGGTGGGGGGTAGGGGGTTTTGCTGGAGGGAGCAAGTGTTTTGCAGAGAGATTTGACGTTAGAGACGGATGGGATATCGCCGGCAAAGCGTCGCCCAGATCAATCAATTTCGTAAGCCTAATATTTGTCGTTTCACCAAAAACAATCATTTCTTCTTAATAAGACTGGAGTATCTCGTTAAAAAAGGATTTTTGAGGAGCGTAATAGGGGCAAATCGTCCGCCTCTATCGCCTTAATATCAATTTTGTTTTAGAGAAAATGTAAAATTTTTCCTAGTGGCCAATGAGGAAAACCTTCGTTTTATTTATAGGAAACCGAAATGCGAAATTGTTTCAAAAATAATAAATAAATGCCACTTCCTCAGCAATTCCATGCGAGCATCGCGAACTTTTGCTATTGATTAGAAATACCTCAATATTATCCGTGCGATGCAGCGGAGCACTTAAGGGATGAAGGAAATTCCTTTCCCTTAAGAGAAACTAACTACAACTTAAGACGTGTGGATTATGCTAGAGGTCACACACGTACGAGCTATGGTGAACAAACATTAACACAGCAAATTCCTCAACTTCTAAACATGCATCCTCAAATTCTGGAAATAGCTGAAGCAGTAAATTCAATAGATACGTTCAAAGAAAGAATACAGGATTATATTTTGAAGCTTGAATAATATATTGGATAGAAATGTGTAAACAACCTTGTTTTTTTGTTTTGTTTTTGTTTTTGTTTTTTATTGTTTTTATCTGTGTTGCCGCTCTAAAACCTGTATGGGGCTCGGGACCTTGGTCAGGTGCTATTAAGCACCTTTTGTCCCTGCCACCCCACTTCGAAATGGTTAATAAATGAAATAAAAGAAAACTGCCAGATAAAAAAAAAAAAAAATTCAAACCGTATTTTAGAATGCCGAAGTATTTTTTCAAGACAATTTTTTTAAGAATTTTTCCTTAAAAAAAATAAAAGAAACGATGGGTAATATGTTTGTTATTTTTATTAAAATAATGACACAAAAAACACCATGAAAAATCGATCGTCATGAAACCGTGCAACCAGCTTGTGATTGGAACAGGTGAATGACTCTTGAAGCATGGAACGTGCGGGATTAATTCAGTTCATTCAGAGCTTGCTGAAACGCATCTTGGACGAAAGGTGTTATTATTTGTACCCAAAGTACTCTGACGAGTCCCGAGAGGATAAATCCCAGCGCGCTCGCAATTGCATACACAATATCTCCACCGCCGTTCATTCCGAAGTACAAGCCCTCCAGTACCACCGGAAACACATTTTGGATTCTATATTCTGTGCCTGAATCTGTCTTCGATGCCACAAGTTCTCCCTCAAACCTGACAAGGTGAGCGTTAGATGTGAGGGTGCCGTTGTGTCCCGAACAAAGACTCCAAGGGACCTGCATCCGCACTGGGTACTTGGAACGCAAGCTGAACACGGTGACTGTGTCGTTTCCGCGGCAAAACGTCTTGTAGGGCCTGTCTCGCTTGAGGAGGTGGAGGCCAAAGAGAGTTCCTTCTTCCAAAAAGATGGCGCCTCGCAGAATTTCCACTTTTGTCTCGTTGGAAACGAGCTCCTTGGGGAGATTTTGGATTAGCTTGTCCAGCTTGTCTTCCAGCTGAGCCTTGTCGGGGACATCGCAAGGCTCTGTAGGTAGGAAAAACAGCGGCCCATTTAGGACAATTATTAAAGTCCGGGATAATGAAGTTGTTAATTATTTTTGCGTAATTAACTTTTTAATATTGTGTTTAAGGCCATGGTTTAAATGAGAAATTTGCTGAGCATCATCAAAAAACACCAAATCAACAAATTGCAGAAAGATAGAAGGCACGCGAAGCATTTTACTGCTTTCTGAAAAACCGCACAAATTCGACCGGTTTTTAAATTTCGGATTGCTATCGAAGCGCATCTCGGCCCCGGCGGCACCGCGCTCCGTGGAGAGATAGTGCAACCAACCTCTGCTGCCTTAATTATCCCCGACTTTAATAATTTCCCTAAATAAACCCCGCCCCAGGAACAAAACGCCACAAGCCTTTTTTAGTTGCGAATATTAGTCTTCGCAGGAGCGATTTGGCCTGCGTTCTCTGAAACACCCTGTATAAATAAATATATATATATATATATATATTGTGGGAACCACGTTTCCCCGCATCTCTATCTAGGCCTAGCTCAGGCAGGCCGTGGGGCGTCGCCACGTGGGGGCGCGTCCCGGATGCGAGGGCGAAGCCGTATTCCCTGGTGGGCGGCTTTCCCTCGTCCTTTTCGGGTGATTTGCCTAAGGCACACCCCTCAGGATCATGACTTGGACGCGTCCGCCCCTCCAGGGAGCCACCTACATCCGTCACACCCTGCGCGCGTCCATTCCCGCAGGCTATTTGAGACGGCCCTAATCCAACGGGCAGGACTTTCGCTGGGGGAGGCTCTGCTCGACGGAGCCTTCATATTCTTATCTGATCCTCCCCCTCCGTGATACTGTCAATAGCGGCAGCGCGGGCTTCGACTAGCGATCCTGTCAAAAGAGACAGCGCCGTCATCTCCGCAATTGTTGGCCTTCGGGCAAGCGTGTTGGCATTGCAGTATATAAACACGTCTTTATCCGGACCCAAGGAATATTTTGTGTTTCGAAGTGGTACCCCCATAAAAGGGGAAACCCACAATATATATATATATATATATATATATATATATATATATCAATGTGCCGCGATAAGAACAGAAACCAGGTAAAAGACAACTATATTAGATGTCAATACAAGATATTCTTCATTGAATTTTTTTTTATAAAGCAAAAGGTAGCTCTTACGCATTTAAATGTCTCTTAATAAAAGAAATGCCTGGAGGCATAACATATAGATGTACCTGATTTTGGAAGATCCTCACTCAAAACCAGGTTGAAACAAAGTAGGGTCAGGAAAGTCGCAAGGGATGTCATTGTTGTTCACAACTTTGCTGTAACAAATGGCATGATGGTAACATATTTTACACTCAATGCTCACGATCCTTGTTTAAAGCTGCACATCCAGCGTTCAAAATAAAGTTATATTTTTAACGAAATAACTAGCCCTGTTAGGTATTCTACCGGGTGTCTCATGTAGTGGCCAGGCCCTTTGAATCGACCGCGAAATTCGGTTTCTTAACCTGTCGCGCTACGAGTTTGCGCAACGTTGCCCACTGATGTTTTTTTTTTTTTTTGTTTTTTTTTTGTAAAATTTGCAACGAACGAGTTTACCTGAGGAAAAAGTTGAGAAAGAAAAAGGCTTACGCAGGGAAGCCACCGGTCTTCGAACAATGCGGCGCCGTTTACCACGGGAGACAAAAGATCGCGCTAGCGGTCGCGGCGCCAACTGCCGCACACGAACGAGCATACGACGCCGATAGCCGGCATCTTTAGTAGACGATCTTTTCGACTCAAAAGCGGCGCGAGCTTTTTTCATATCAGTTGCCAGTGCATTACTTTATCATCCTTACTAATAAAACACATTGATTTGACACGTGATCGATTAAAAAATTGTTTGTTCGGTTACTTTAACTTTTTTTTTTTTTTTGCGGTACTTACGTCGTCTGTTTTGCAGTTCCTTGTTGATACGGCGCCTGTTTTTGCTTCTGCGGCTGTCGCCATCTGCGGAACGCGCGCCGCTTTTGTGTCGCAAAGACCGTCTGCTAAAGACGCCGGCTCTCGGCGCCGTATGCTTGTTAGTTGGCGTCGCGACCGTTTGCGCCACCTCTTGTCTCCCGTGCGAAACGGTGCCGTATTGTTTGAACAAAGGTCGCCTCGCTCCGTTTCCATAGGAGCTAAGCCTTTTTCTTTCTTTACTTTTTCCTGAGGTAAGTTTGCTCTTTCCAAATTTTACACAAAAAAAATGCACCATTAGTCGGCAACGCTGCACGAAATCGTAGCGCGATACGTTAGGCAACCGAATTTTGTGGTTGATTTAAAGAGCCTGGCCGCTACTTGGGACACCCGGGTAGTATATTCAATGATGCTGTAGATAAATTAATATTTATTTGTCAATGTTCTTTGACTCGTACGTTCCGAAATAATTGTCAGAGTGGCGATGTGGGCGACTTGGTTCATGTAGTCACAAAAGGGGGTAAACAGTGGCCGTAGAAGGAATCAATTAAGAAGTTTATTAGACATAAAAAAATATCCGAGAGGAAGGAGGAAACGGTTGCCGAAGCTACCTGACGAGGCTCCTGTCCCCTAAAAGCGTTAACGCAGTCGTGGCAGCAATATTGAAATTATACATTGATCAAAATATACATACATATACAGGGTGTCACAAAAGAAAATTTACACGGTCTTTTTTACCGCAAAAATAAACTAGGCACCGCCGAACGCTCATTCTCCGCCCAAAGGTATAGCTAGAGGTCACAACCAGGTGCTAAAGTTTCAGCCCGATCCGATAACTTCATCAAAAGTTATAAGTGATTTTCTG